TTTATTGGCAGTCTTTTTTGACGCTGGCATAATTACAACCATATTCAAGCTAATGAATCAAGAAAATGTATCGGCTTATCCATAAAGCCTGTATGCATATGTCCTACATGTATGCATTTTTATAAAGTGTCGAGTGATATGTTTAGTTCACGTAATATGTCATCCTCGAACCGTTTGTGTGTTTGTGTGTATGTATGGGATTTCCTGTATTGGCGTATATACAAAACCGGCATTGATAGCTCAAAGTGGTTACTTCTGTTTACGAGCGTCAAGGTTTAATGACCTCCACCGCCAACTCTTTTTGTTTATATTTTAGCCATCAAGCGGATCGCATAATGTCGGACAAACGTCTGGTTAAGGTAATGGACACTATGTCTTCTCATGACAGAGAAAGGTTGGACTATGCGTAAAGGAAAGTGACTGTCATTAGAACTTTGGCAGGAAAAGACGATGTCAAAAATGCTGGGTTTCGAGGAAGTTCTTTCCCTACAATTGTTGAGCTCACTTCAATTTCGAGTCAACGTGAACTCACCAAGAAAATACCGGTTTATCCGTGAGTCTCTCAATTAAGCATAAGTATTTTTCTAATTAAGTATTGTTTTCGTGACTACCAGTAAATCAGTAATATTAAATGTATTCACCCAATTTCGCTTAAGGTGATGAAGGACTGGTAGAAGAACAATTTTCCCACAATGATATGAGTTGAGCTGACGTTTCCATTGAATTTCACATAGCCTTGCTTCTTCTACCAGTCCTTCATCACCTTAAACGAAATTGGGTGAATACATCTCATACTACTGATTAACTGGTAGTCACGAAAATAATACTGCATTCGAAAAATAAACTATACTAGTCGATTGTTATAGCAGATATATGTTTGCTTCATCGACAATTCCACCAAAAAAGAATATGATATGGCAAAAAGGCCTGGTCTTCCTTAAAAATTCGCATTTGCCCTGTGGCCCAAAACGCGCTTGTGGCAGTGTAGCCAAATCGTTAGTGTGCGAAGCTCCCATCCTGCCCTGACACGGTTAGACTCCCGCTGAGGGTTTTGATGAGACCGATGCGAAGTCGAAACCGCAGTCCATTGGTGCCTGGTAAGGCTATGTGAAATTGAATGGAAACGTCAGCTCAACTCGTAACATTGTGGGAAAATTCTTCTTCTACCAGTCCTTCATCACCTTAAACGAAATTGGGTGAATACATCTC